ACATATGGCACAAACATGGCACAGATTGGGGACAGGAACACGGCACAGGGGCAGCATGGGGACATGGCATGAATGTGGCACTGGGTCACAGCACGGGGACATGATACAGACATGGCACAAACATGGCACAGGGACGTGGCATGGATGTGGCACATGGACACAGCACAGATGTGACACAGGGACACAGCATGGCTGTAGCACATACATGGCACAGGGACGTGACATAGATGTGGCACTGGGACATGGCACAGCATCAACATGGCACAGATATGACACAAACATGGCACAGGAACGTGGCACAGCACAGGACAGGAGCATGGCAGGGATGTGGCACAGGGACATGAGAGCACGGCACAGACATGGCGCTGGGACACGGCACAGGGACGGCACCAACATGGCACAGGGACGGAGTACAGGGACACGGCACAGGAACGTGGCACAAACGTGGCACAGCATGGATGTGGCACAGACATGACACAAACATGGCACAGACAGCACAGGGACACGGCACAAGTATGGCAGAGACATGGCACAGATATGGCACAGGGACACGGCATGGATGTGGCACAAACGTGGCACATGGACATGGCACAGACATGGCACAGACACGGCACAGACACGGCACACGGTCATGGCACAAACGAGGCACAGACATGACACAACCATGGCACAGGGACCCAGCCACAGTACCAACAAAGCCACAACACCCGTGAGAGGCACAGGAGGTGACAGCGGCACACAGACAGGGGGACATCAATCACACAGAGGGACAACGGGCACGGCCAGCCCCGGGGCAGCGGGCAGGACAGCGCGCAGAGCCTCTGCTGCCTCAGTTTCCCTCCCCCTCGGCACCCAGCAGAGCACGGAGCCGCGCAGCGCCGCCACTTCATCACTGCCGCCACCTCCGCAGGATGGATGAGCTGCCCTTTCTGCTCCCCCCTCGCCCCCCCAGCCCGCGTTAATTCGTTATGGATTTGGTATTAACGAGCAATCACCCATCTGAGGCCGTGACGCACGACGTGGGGGTCAACAGAACCAAATCGGGGGGGGGGGCAAGGCTGTGTCTCTGGATGGGGAGCAGCAGGGATGGGATGCGGGGACGCGGTGCTGGCTGAGCTGCACGCCCGGCAGGAGGGGACGCGGCCGCGCTGCCGTGACCCGGCCAAGCAGCAGCATGGGCTCAGCTCGTGGCGGTGCCACCACGGGGCTCCCGGCCCCACGGCTGCGCGCAGCCCGGTGAGCAGCGCGCGTCGCCCCGCGTCCCGCAGGGCTCGTTTGGTGCCACGCTGAGCCGCGGGCGCGGAGGTGGCCAAAGGCGCCCCGTGTCACACGCACAGAGCGGGGCCGCAGCTGTGATCCGCGGATGGCATCGACCGCCTCGATGTCACCTTTCGCGTCCCCTGAGGGGAATTGGATCGGTGCAGCCGCGTGCCGGGGACACCGAGGGCGAACCCAGCGCTGCCGGACCCCCATCCCACCCGAGGGGGGGCACAAGGGCTGCCGCCCATCCCCATCACCCCCAGAGGGACCGGGAGAGAGGCAGCGCCGCTCCCAGCACCATCGATGTCCTCAGGCGGAGGGGGGGTCGGCACAGCTTCTACGTGCCCCCCCCAGCACCGACCCCAGCACCGGGGAGGGGGGGGAAGAGACGGAAGCGACGTTTCTGCTCCATTTCCCCCAGGTGACAGCAAACAGCCGTTTTCCAAAGGTCACGCGATGGCTCCGGCAGCGGGGGCAGCGCGGCTGTGGGGAGGGGGGGAGGTGGGACGCGGCCCCCCCCGGCTCCGTGCAGGGACAGCAAACAGGCGCTGCCGCCTCCCCGCTCTTTATGGCCCTGCTCTTTCCGCCGGAGACGCATTAAGGGCCCCGCAGCCCTTATCAGCCCCTATCAGCCCCGGCAGCGCCTGTTTGCTCGGCTCCACGCGCTTCCGATGAGCCGACAGGGACGGTGGGGACAAGGAGGACGCGGTCAGCCCCTCCCCGCACCCCCACCGCAGCAGCCAGAAGCCCAGCAGCACGAAGAGGGAAGCCGCCCCCCCCCCCCCAGGGCACCCCCTGCCTCGGTTTCCCCACCTCGAGGAGGGGGGCACCCCATAGCGGGGCCCAGAGCGCCCCCACGAGGCACCACCCGACGGAGCACAAGGATTTCTCCTTCCGCCGGTCCAGAAAAAGGGGGGAGTGGGGATTTCAGGCCTCTTTGGAGCCCCCCCCCCCGCAGCAGGGCACAGCCACCACCTCGTCCTGTTATCAAATATTTACATATTTTAAAAAAAAAAAATAATGATCATCATCATAATAAATAGCAATCCTTCCAATAAAATAACCCCAAAGAAGGCGTCCAATGCGCCGTCCCCAAGTCCCGCTCAGCCGTCGGTGGCCAGGATGACGACGGCGCCGAAGATGCCCACGTTCTGCCCGATGAGCTTCATCTGGTTCCAGAACTCCACGCGCCGCGCCTCGTGCCAGTAACCGATGTTGCCATCGATGAGGAGGATGGCGAGAGGCAGCAGCACGGCCAGGACCTGCGCCGCCACCCGCACGTAGTAACCGGAGAGGAAGGCCAAAGCCAGGAGGCCGTAGAGCACGAAGAGGAGCTGCAGGGTGAGCTCGCCCCCCAGGATGTGGTTCAGGTAAGCCAGGCGGTCCTCCTTGCTGTGCTGCAGCGAGTAGGCCTGCGGGAGGGGGGCTGCGGCTGTGGGATGGGTTCGGTGCCGTCGCCTCCCGCCCCCCCGGTGCCCCCCGTACCTGGCAGATGAGGTAGATGCCCAGGAAGACCTGGCCTGTGGACTGCAGAGAGCGGCTGCGGGGCTTCTGCCGGTACAGCTCGCCTGCACCGCTGGCCAGGATGAGGAAACCGCCGATGATGGCGATGGTCCGGGAGTACATGCGCACCTGGGGGGGCCACCGTCGGCGCTGAGCCCCCCGGGGATGGGGAAGGGAGTCCCTGGGGGTGCGTGGGGGGGGGTCTCACCTTCAGCCAGTCGCCGTAGTGCACCTGGCCGCCGACGTGTGAGGCGTACGTGGCCACGGCGAGCTGCAGGGCGGCCCCCAGGGCGAACCAGCGGCGCTTCACCCCGAAGGACATGAAGCTGGCACACAGCACGGCCACCCCCATGTCCACATACAGGTATGGCACCGGGATGTCAGGCTTCCTGGGGGTGGGGGCACGGCAGCTCCAGCCCCGCTGGCACCCCCTGCTCCCATCCCCACGCCACATCTGCACACCCCGCCCCCTCCCAGGGTTCCCTTCCCATCAGCTCTCCATTCTTGAGGCCTACACGACCGCCGGAGCCACCAGCTGCCCCAAGACCCCCAGCCCCACGGTTGCCCCAAGCCCCCCAATGCTACTTCTGGAGAACCTCAGCTGCCCCACGCTAACCAGCATCCATGGCCCCACACCAATCGCGGCCTCTTCGGCCCCAGGGCTCTGCCAACATCCTGCACCCCACACATCCCCCATGCCCCAACCCCAGCTGCCCCACACTTAACTTAGGCTCCTCCAGCTGCATCACAGCAACCCTCAGCCCCTCCTTCACCACGCTTAACTCGTGGCACACAGCTGCCCCACACCTGCCCCACCGACTCCCACTCCCCATACCAACCCAAGATCCTTCTGCTGCCCCACAGCAACCTTTGCCCCCTTACTTAATCCAAGCCCCACACACCCACTCAGTCTCCCTTAGGTGTCCCACGCTAAACTCCAGATGCCCCATAGCAGCCCCTAGGTTGCTCCATAGGTGCCCTATACACAACCTAGAACCCCTACCGCCCCACACCAATCCCAGTGCCCCCCAACTAACCCACACTTAACCCAATGCCTCCCCTCCCAGAACGATGCCAGCTGCCTTGTACCCAGCTTCCCCATAGTGACCCCAGTGTCCCCCAGATGCCCCCCACCCACCCCAGACTCCTTACTTCCCCCAGTCCCACCCCACCTGCCCCACACTCCCCCATACCCATGCTCGGTCTCCCCTGGCTGCCCCACACTTGATTCCAGCGCCCACCATCAACCTCACACCCACCCCCGTACCCCCCAGCTGCCCCACACCCACCCCACGCCCCCAGCTTACCCCAATTCCCCGCAGCTGAGCCGCAATTAACCCAGACATCACCGCACCCACACTCACCCTCTCCCCCCAGCAGCCGCCCCACACTCAACCCCCGCCCCCCCTCGGCCCTCCGCGGCTCATCTCACCCTCCCCGCTCCCCCGCTCCCTTCCCCCGCACCGCCGCCCGTCGGCCCGCTCGGCGCACAGCAGCAGCCCGCTGAAGCAGTGCCAGAAAGGGAAGCGGGTCAGCAGCACCCCGCCGCCCGCCGTCAGCAGCCGCAGCGCCCGCCGCCTCCACCCGCGCCCCGCCGCCATTTCGGGGTGGCCTGAAACCGGAAGGCCTAGTGAAGGAGCCGGAAGTCCTTTGCGCACTGCGCCGGAAGTCCCGCCGCCGGAAATCGTGGGGCGGGACTTCCGGCGCGGCCCGGTGTCCCCTCACAAACCCACATCGCCACACCGGTGATGGTTAAAAAAATCTCGGGTTTTATTGTTTTTTTTTTTTTTTTGCTAAACAATACTAAAAAAATTTTTCTTTTTTTTTCCTTTTTTTTTTTCTTTTTTTTGCCTTTTCTTTGTTTTTTTTTTTTTGTTTTTTTTTTTTTTCTTCTCAAACTCCAGAAGGCAGGGCTTGAATTAAACTTTTTTTTTTGTTTTTTTTTTTTGAGCCATTTCTTCTCTTCAAAAACAGAACAAAAAAAAAAATAAAAAAAAAATTCAAACAAAGAGGGAGGAGGGGGAGAATCATGGCAAAAAAAAAAAAGAAAGACAGTAAAAAATGAAGGAAATGGGGAAAATTGAACAGAAAGAGGGACCTCCCCCCTCCCCCCCCCCCCAGAAATGAAGTTTGGGCTCTTTGGGTGAAAACGTGGGGATTCGGGTGGTTTTGTTGTGGGTTTTTTGTTTCCTTTTCTTTTTTGCCATGATCCCAAGAGAACTGCCGGAAGCAGAAAATATTTAAAGAACATTTTAATATATATTCATATATATCTTTAAAGATAAGAAAAATAGGACTAATTCAAGCCTTGCCCTGTGCAAACAAAATTAAAAGAGGAGCCTGCGGGTCGCAGGTCCCGGCTCGGGGCTGCTGCTGCTTAGTTTTATTTTTGGAGGCGTTCTGGGGGGAGGAAACGGGAGCTGCTCCCTTTGGGGGGGGGCGAAGGACCCCCTTTGGAAAAATAAAGGGGGTGATGGGGAGAGGGGATCCAAAAATAAAAGTAACCGAGCGCGAGCAGCCGATGGGAAAGAAACCATGGCGGACAAAAGAAAGTCTGTTAGTCAAGTAATGCATGAGCTTTTAAATTATTCTCTTTTTTTTTTTTTTTTCTTTTTTTTTTTTTTTTTCTTTTTTTTGTGTGTGTGTGTGTGTTGGTTTTTGTTTTGTTTTCGTTTGTTTAAAGTCTAAGGTTTGGAATCGGCGAGCTGCCCCGTTCCGCAGGCAGGACATCGGTGCCGGCAGGCCTCAGGACGACAGGGCGCTCTCCTTCTGTGTTTGCTGTGCTTGTGAACGCTGCATTACCTTTTGGCTTTCCACATCTCTAAAGTGTTTCTCGACCTGTGGGTGGGGAGGGGCTCAGCACGGCCGAGGAGGGGAGGGGGGGTGACCCCCACTGCCCCCCCCCATTTTGCTGTACTCACTATTTTGCGTACGTGCCCCAGCGCGCTGCCCTCTTTGCCTTTACAGTTTTCCACCTGGTACGGGGGGGCGATGACGACTTCTTCCATCACAACTATGTTCTTCTCCTGCCATTTACAGTCCTTAATGCTGCGGGGGTGGGGGGCAGAAGGATCAGCCCAGCCGTGTCCCCCTCCCCCCCGTTCCCATTCCACCACCCAACGCATCCCGCTGACCGCCTGCAGGTTTTTGGGGGTGACACCAAACAACGCAGCCCCCCCCCCCCCCCCCTCCTCCAGGCCATGTGGGGACCCCGAAAGCACAGTGTGGGTGTGGGGGAGGCACAGAGACTCACGTCTTGTGGATGGTCTGGAAGAGCTGCTGTCCCTCCAGGGAGACCCCCGCACTGATGGCGTACGCCTGGCTCAGCTTCTCCTCCTTCTCCATCCGTGCTTTGTTGGCGAGCTGGGGGGGGGGGGGGCACAGAGATGCTGCACACGCTGCCTGCGCCCCACACCGCCCCCAAGGATGGCTGCACACCCACCAGCTTTCCCTCTGCCTCTCCCCAGTTATCAGGTGCCGTTTCAGCTCCCAGCCACCTTCATGCTAACGCGCGACAACCTGGGCAAGCTGAGTCCGAACCGACCACAGCATCAAGGCTTGGAGGTATGAGCAACTTTACCCCAGAGCAGTTACTGCAGCCCAAAAAAGGTAACAGCAACAACAACAAAGTCAGCTTTTTGGGAACAGCAGCAGCAATCCCTCTGGCCTCACACAGTCCATGTGCAGGGAGGCCTCCGCTGGGGCTCACGCTGACGCAGCGCAAGCAGCCATGAGCAAGGAGCAGGGCGCCCAGCACACAAGGCCATGGAGGCTCCCAGCTCCTTCAAGAGCTCGTGGAGAAGCAGCAAAAGGTCCAGGGCTTCCCCTCAGCCCTCGCATGGAGCCTCTCCCCCTCACCCTGGCTGCTGAGAAGCACTGCAGACACTGAACAGCTGCTGACAACGCTGCATCCCAAACGGCAGCAGTGACCCCTCTGCAAGCCCGCTCCGGGTCCAAAAAGCCCAATTTCTCAGGGAGAATCGGGCACTTCCTGCAGCAAACACTGCTCATCCCTCCAGCACAGCTTCGCTTTGCCTTCTCACCCAAACACTGCGACCCACAGCACCCAGGGCTGCAGCTGTGAGCCACGAGCCACACCGCTGGCAGCACAGCGATGCCCTGCAGGGAAAGGACCCAAAAGTTCCTCTCCCGTTTGCCCCGGCCAGACCAGAACAAGAGGTGCCACCTGCCAGCCCCCAGCCTGCAGCACCCCTACGGCTTCTTCACTTCCACTCAGCACTGGGACCTTTCCTCAGCTCCGTGCCCTCGTGCACAAATGGCCGAGTCACCGCCCCTCTCCGGCCCCATTGGCGCGAGTGGCAGAACTGCTGGGACAGCCCCTGGCACCAGGAGCAGAACAGGGCGCTGAGCACAGCACTGCAGGGCACCAAACCCTGCACCACCACCATCGCCATCCCCCCCCCCATCTGCTCCTGCCCCACAGCTCCAGCACCGCCTGCAACACTACAGCAAGGATTTCGATGCCAGGAAGTCCGAAGAGAGAACGTGAGAAGCGGCGCCACGTCGGGTGCTGCCCACCTCCCAGCCACGTCCCTCTGTGCCATCACTGCATCTTCACAGCATTTGTGCCATCTGAAATCTGTCTGCTTGCTCATCCGGGGAGGGGGAAACTGCCAGGCAGGGGACGTCCAGCCGCTGCCACCACCAGGCGCGGGGACACGGCTGCTGCCACGAGAAGCTTCCAGGTGGGAAAAGGAGGAACCCCCCTGCAGCCTCGCAACCCTCAGGGCTGCGTCCCAAAGGCGTGGGCTCAGCTTCCCTTCATCACCTGCCCCCCCCCCTTTTTGAGGAGGACGCACAAAAAGCCGCTCCTCAAAACTCAGACGACAGCTGGGCTTCACAGCTCCTGTGCCACCCCTCCGCCAGGGGGCCGCGCCAGAAATTCTGCTTCTGAAGCCGAGCAGCATCCATGCAGAGAGGGCAGCGACCTCCCACGGCTTCTCCCTGCCCCCAGGAGCACAGAACGCAGGCTGATGCGTTCAGCCAGCAGGCGCTGCGTGAGCGGGGCAAGAGTTCAAAGGGCAAGGAGCAGAAAGAGAGCCTGAGCTGCGCCCCTCCTCGAGGGAAGCCCTCCTGCGCTGCCCACAGCCACAGAAGCTCCTGGCTGAGCAGCCCCACAGCACAGAGGCCCACGGGTCGCACAGACCCCCAAGCCCTGAACGGAAGCTGCACGGAGTCACAAACGACACAGGCTTGCAGTTAAAAGCCAACCCAGCGCTGCCAGCACGGCCTCCCCCAGCCCACAGGCGGCCCCCAGCCCACCCCAGTCACCTTCTTACCTTGCTAACATTGAGTGAAGCTAAAGGAGGAGGGGTTTCCGTGCGGTCGTTAATTATTTCCACTTCTGAAACATACTGTAGGTTTACAAGCAGGATGTCTGCGTGGTTGGGCTTCCCACTGGAAGAAGGGCATTCTGGAGGGACGAAGCATTAAGGAAAACAAACCCAGGCAGAGAGGTGCTGAGCACAGAGAGCCAGCAGGTGGTTTTCCATTGAGTTTTCCACCATCGCTGCCCCAGCTCTGCCAACCTGCAGGACCCCCAAACTCTCCTTTGACTCACTGGATGCTGACGTGCTTTTCCCAACTACAGCAGAGATGTTTTCAGCCCCAAACTGCCACGACTGCACCGCACACAAGCTGGGATATCGTGTGATCTCCTCCAAGAAACCTGAGGTGCAGCTGCCCCGTTCTGAGCAGTGCAATGCGCTCCCTTAGGCACTGGCTGCTCTGCAAGTGAACCCAACCACCACCCTACCTCAAACTCACACAATTTTCTCCCCCAGCTGCTTCCTCTGGCAGGCAATAGCTGAGCCCACAGCCTCCCCAGGAGGACAGGAGCTCCTCACCTTCCTCACCACCCGGGTTTGCTGTGCTTGGTGCCGCAGCACGGCTGGGAAACGTAAACGAGACAACGGTGCACCACCCCCAGAAAACCTTTCCAGAACCGACACCAATTCCTGAGCAATCTGTTCCCAGGGAGCTGCACTGCAGGCCCTCGCTGCTGTCTCCCATTGAAGAGCAGCCCGTGGGGCTCAGCCCTCCTCAGCCCCACACGCCACAAAGCCCTCGTGAGCAAACACATTTCTGCACAGCACACGGCACGAGGGATGTGGCGCAAGAGTCTCTTCCCTGAGAGGATGAGATCACAGCAGATCTGAGGTTGGAACGGACCCACAAGGAGCAGCAGGTCTGACCCCTGGCTCCACACAGCACCACCCAGAAACGAAACCTTACAGCTGAGAACGGAGGCTGAGTCAGAACCGCCTGCTGCTGGGCATCTCTGGGGGTCCCGTTCCCCCTCCAGAGCTGCGGGACGTTTCCCACAACGCTCCAACACTCCTCACTGATGCAGCCTGCAGACGGGGACCTCCTGCAGCTCCTGCCCTCTCTCACAGCTCCAGAATCAGCCCTGCGGCCACAGAATCACCTCAAAGTTCCTCCAGCCTCTTTCAGTACCATCCCTGGGCTCCACGTTTGCCTTCACGAGCTTCCTGCAGTCCCTCTTCATGCTCTGCACCAGCCCACCCCCCTCTTGCTCTCACATCACTGCCAGGTTAAAAAGATAAAGCGCATCCTAGTGCATACACACACACACAGCGATGCATTTTAAGGCCTGAGCACTGCCCTCCTGCTCCCTCCACACAAGGCCTGGGCAATGCCAGAGCTCTCTCTCCTTCCCCACAGCATTTCTCCTCCACCTCAGTCACAACCAGGGCTCCCCTGTACCCCCCCATGCGCCCTTAGAAGACTCCTCCCGCCCTCCCCAGATCTCACTGAGCCCTGCTCACCACGCTGCTGCCTCTCTCTGCAATCCCAAACAAGCGCTATCCCCAACCAGAGCCTCCCCCAAGCTCCTCCTGGCCTCAGAATCCCCCCCTAGCCCCCCCACCCCCCCAGGGCCTCACGGTGCTCTGTCCAAAGCCCCCCAGGAGGTCCCAATCGATGCTCCCCGATCCCCCCCAGCAGGGCTGCCCCCTCTCCAGAAGCACCCTGCATCCCCACCCCACCCCTTGCTCACTGCTCTATGGATCCCCTCCCTCCCCAACAGCCCCTCTATCCACCCCTCACCCCCCAAGCTCCCTTGTCCTACAGGACCCCAATAACCCCCCCCACAGATCACACTCCCCAGTAGCCCCATCGGAAGCCTCCCAACACCTCCTCCCTCGATAACATCCCCCCTCCACAGCGCCCTCCACCACCCAGCAAACCCCCACAGATCCCCTCTTCTCCTCCCCCTCCCCCCCCAACCCTCTCCATACATCTCTCCACTTCACAGGAACTCCGTTACAGAATCACAGAGTCGCACAACATCCCAAGCTGGAACGGACCCCTCGACCCTCCTCCCCACTCCCCAGCATCCCCCAATACACCCCAAGCTCCACCAAACCCCCATCGCACACCCCCTCACCCCCCAATAACCCCCCCACCCCACCGACCCCCTCCAAACACCCCCTCAGCCCCGATACCCCCTCCCCACCAGCCCCCCTCTCCCCAATAACCCCACACGGACCTCTCACCCCATCCCTAAACCCCTCACCCCTCCCCCGCCCAACCCCCATCCCCCTCCACCCCCCCCTTTCAGCCCCCCCCCATCCCCTCAGTGAGGCCGGGCCGCGGTTCGCTGTATCGCCGGCCCCGTGGCGGCGCGGCGGATGGATACTGAGCGCCAGCATCTTGCTGGGGTAATCGAAGGCGACGACCTCGCCCTGCAGGCGCTGCTCCTGGCAGGTGCGGCACGACACCTGGCTGCCCACGCTGAAGCACTCGCCCGGCGCCGCCATTTTCTCTCAGCCCGCAGCGGCCGCCGCGGCTCGGCTCGGCCAAGGGGGGGGCGGGGCGCCGCTCGACGTCACCGCGCTGCGTGATGACGTCGCGCGTCCAACCCCCCCCGCGCGCGCGCGTGCGCGCGCTGCGCGCCGACGTCGCCTCGCCGCGCCGCGCGCCGCCGCGGGGCGGGGTGACCTTGGAATGGCGAGGGCTTTTTGACCCTCGTGCCGCTCCGTAGCGGTCGTTTCGCCGGCGCCGCAAGGCCTGCCGGGAAGTGTAGGAGGAAGAGGCGGTTAGCGGCCTGCCCGCGGGGAGGGCTGCAGGGACCCCGGCCCCCGGGTGAGGCCCCAAACCGCCCTGCGAGCTCCTAGGCCGGCCCGGGCCCCGCCCGCTGCCTCCCCGAGCCGTAACGGCCCGATGCGGGGTTTCCTGAGCGGGGAGAGGGCTGACGGGTCGCTCTGCGGGTCCTTCGGGGGGCCCCCATCGCTGCGCTGTGCCCAGGGCTGCGCGGCTCGGCCCCGTGTCCGCACCGAGCCTCTCCCGTGCGGTGCTTTTGTGCCCGCCAGCCCGTTATCCGTTTTCCTCTCTCCATCCCCATCGTCCCCATTATCCCCATCCCATTCCCCATCCCCTCCTCCATCCCCATTTCCCATCTCCACCCCTCCCTCCATCCCTCCCCCATCCCATCCCCATTATCCTCATCCCGATATCCATTCCCACTCCCCATCCTTTCCCCACCGTTCCCATCCCCATCCCATTCTCTGCATCCCCATCCATCTTCTTCCTCTACCCATCCCCACCATCCCCATTCCCCATCCCATTCCCCATCCCACCCCCATCCTCCCCTTACCCAGGACCCCTCCCTGACTCTCTCCCTCCCCACAGCCCACAGCATGGAGGCCCTACACATCTCTGGGATCCACCTCGCCGAGTTGCTGCAGGCCGGGCCGCCGTGGCTGGAAAACTTCTGGCTCACCATCACCTCCGTGGCCGACCCCAAATGCATCTTCACCGTGTGCTTCCCGCTCGCCTATTTCCTCGACCGCAAGGTGGGGGTGGCAGTGCTGTGGGTCGGGCTGGTGGCCGAGTGGCTCAACGTGGTCCTCAAATGGTGAGAGCACAGCCTGTGCCGCTGGGTCCTGCAGGGCTGGGGGATCCACGGCCCCACAGCCGCCCTCCTGCTGCTGCCCGCAGCCCCCAAACCCTCGGGGGCCGTGTGGGGCGCTGAGGCTTTGGGCTGCATCCATTCACTGCTCTGCTCTGTCCCTCCCTCTCAGGTTTTTATTTGGGGAACGCCCGTTCTGGTGGATCCATGAGTCGGGCTTTGCCAGCCAGCAGCCACTCACACTGCGTCAGTTCCCCGTCAGCTGCGAAACGGGACCAGGTGAGCTGTGTGTGTCCCTGCAGAGCACCTGGGGGTTCCATCCTGGTGACTCCAGGGACACAGCGGGGAGAGTGTGGAACTGAAAGCACACAAGGCACTGTACAACACCGGGCTGCTGGCTTCAAGGGACACCCAGGGGCTCCTTGGTGTCAGTGCTTAGCATAAGCAGGACGGTGAGAGCCCTTCCTGCCAAGCTGGCACTGGGGAAAGCGTTTCCTGCATCAGTTCCCCGCCTGTAGGACAGATTTATTTACTCTCTTGCTCTGTGAGGAAATACTCTGGGTCCCGCCTTCCTCCCTGGCAGCGCAGAGGTGGGCAGGGCAGCCTGGGGATCCCAGTGCTGGCGGGATGGGGCAGCCAGGGGTTGGCAGCAGAGCTGAGAAGTGACCAGCAGGGAACAGGATGGGCTGGCACAGCTCTGGGGCCAGGAGACCCATGAGGCAGTCTGCACCGGGCTTCTTTTCTGCCACAGCTCTGTGCCTCTTGGTTTTGGGGGCTTGCAGGTCTCCTTGCTCCCCTATTTGAGCATCTCGTGCTTTGCAGGCAGCCCCTCCGGCCACTGCATGATCACTGGGGCAGCACTGTGGCCGCTGGTGACTGCACTGACAGCATTGGCATCCCGACACTCCAAGAGGTGAGAGCTGGGGCACTCCTGGAGTCCCCAGAAGGCATTTTGGGGGGGGAAGAGGGAGATGCACTGCAGGGCTCTTTCTGCTGGGCTGGATGGGGAACGCAACTCTGGCTGCTGTGGATCCGCTCACCCAGCTCACCTCTCGCAGCCTGGTGCTGAAGCTGATCCCCTTCAGTGCCTACACGCTGCTGCTGCTGGCCGTGGGCCTCTCACGGGTCTTTGTCCTCGCTCACTTTCCCCACCAGGTGCTCGGTGGCATTGTGGCAGGTGAGCGGGGCGAGGGTCCCCCCCTCCCATCCCCTCCAGGAGCCCCCACATCCGTCCTCAAATCCCCCCCCCAACCCGTCTCTGCTCTCCCCGCAGGGGCTGCCCTGGGCTGGGGCCTGCAGGCTCACACCCCGGCCACGCGCTCTCTGGGTTTCTTTGCTGCCACATCCCTGGGGCTGCTGCTGGGCACGGTCGCTCTGCACAGCCTCATGGTTGCTGCTGGCGTTGACATCGACTGGTGAGCAGCTGTGGGGAGCGGCTGGGGGGGCTCAGAGCCCCGGGGGGGGAAGGGGTTCATCCCTGAGAACTGACTCCACAACAGAGAGGGAAGGCAAAGGGGGGAGGAGGGGGAGGGCACAGCGATCTGCCCCCCCCCTGGCGGCTGGAGCTCACAGAATCACAGAACTGTAGGGGTTGGAAGGGACCTCCAGAGCTCATCGAGTCCAACCCCCTGCCCAAGCAGTTCCTACAGCAGGTCGCACAGGTCGGCATCCAGGCAGGTCTGGAACATCTCCAGAGCAGGAGACTCCACCACCTCCCTGCACAGCCTGTTCCAGTGCTCCTCACCTCACTGCACAGCCGTTCCTTCGAACCGCGAATGTTTTTGCCCTCGATTTCCAAAGGGACCACCGGCCTTACCATGCATTTCCCAAGGCCTCCACGGGCTGAGATCGGCCCCCCAAAGCAGCGCCCAACCCCTTCCCCCGCCCATCGGGGAGGGCTCTCGGCTTCACCCCACCTCTCTCCCCGTTCAGGTCCATCCGTTTGGCCACCGCTTGGTGCAAGGACCCCTCCTGGCTGCGCCTCGACACGCGGCCCTTCGCCTCCATCTGCCGCGTGGCCGGCAGCGCGCTGGGGCTGGGCTTCGCAGCCGGAGACCCCCAGCGCTGGGATAAACCGTTGCCCCCCCGGCAGCGAGCAGCCTGCGCCGTGTTGGCTTTGGCGGCCGTTCGGGGGCTGCAGCACATCCCCCAGCCCCAGCAGGTGACACTGTGGTACGCCTCCAGCTTCCTCAAATACGCTGCCGGGCCCGGGCTGGTGGCTGTGCTGCTGCCCCGCATCGCCCGCATCGTCGCCCGCCCCGAGGGCTCCCCGCACGCTGAATAGCGGGGTGGGGGGTTGGGGGGGGGATCCCCGACTTCGGCACGGTGAGCCCCGCGTGGCCCCAGCGCCCCGTCTCCGAACGCCGTGCCAATCCTCTCCGAACGGGGGCAGCCCTCACTCCTCAGCCCCCCAGGTTCCTCTTAGGAGGGGGCAACCCCCAACCAACCCCCCCCTCCTCCAACCTGCCCCCATTTCCTCCCCCTGGGGGGGGGCACCGCTCATCCCCTCATCCCTGCCTGCCCCCAATAAAGGCGCTGTTACACTCCACCGCCGCCCCAAAACTCTTTGGGGGGGGGAGGAGGGGGGGGGGGGGGGGTTGGGCACAAGGACGCGGCCCCCCCCAACCCTCAGGCTGCGCCCCCCACGCCCACGGCTATTGCCAGAAACAGTTTTATTTATACAAGGACGAACATCGGTGACATCTTACAAAATACTCCAACCCATATCGAGAGGCGGCGGACGGACAGAAAGAAACGGCGAGGGGGGGGGGTGATGATGGGGAGGGGGGGGTGGGAAGCAGTGACCCAAAGCAGGGCAGCCTCACTCTCAGGAAGGCCTGACCCCCCCCCCCCAATTCCACCTGCATTGGGAGAACAGGGCAGCACCCCCCCCCCCAAAATGATGATGGGGAGAGGAGGGGGGGGCGCTCAGTCCATTAAATTGAGGACCTGCTCCCCCCCCCGCAGCACAACACTGCCACATA